GGATACGGAAGGTGACAGAAGGTCCAATATAAAACTGACCATCACAAATTCACTAGTGAAACATGCAACTGTCCGTGTTTTTCTTTGTGGCAGTAGCCTTTGCATATGGAATGCCACATTTAGCATCGGCTGCAGACATATTCGGTGAGTTTTCGTATTCTTATGAGTGTCACAAACAAATAGTACTTGAATGTGACTTGAAAATATTATAGTGCGTTAATTTAAATAAGATCTAAATTTCAATTTTTAAAAATTACCTTTCATTCCCAATTTTGTATTGTAGGTATATTTTATAAAATGATCTAGTGGAAATTTTATCTTTTCAAATACCTACTAAGCAGCACAAATCAACTTTTAGCGATTTTTCTAGCTCGTTTTAATCTGATTTAATTTCCCCTGCAGCTCCAATACTAAATTTATTGTCCAGGCCAAATAGGGCAAAATCGAGATATTATTTATATTTTAATTTTTTTTCCAGTCCGATATGAGCAAATTATTGAGATTTATTAGGTAGCTTTAAGAAAAATTTCTCAAAGTTCATGGATGTCAGAAAATAAATCATCTCTATAAAATTTATCTCTATATTCGTTCCATGATTTGGATTTACATTTTTTTAACACCTGTGAGAAAATCCCGGCACAAGTTTGGCGGTCATCAGCATCAATTTATTGTTGTATTTATTCGTGATTTTACATACACATGATAAGTATTTTTGTTCTCATTGTGACAACAGTAAGTTCTCTATATAGCCGGGGGGCCTATTGTATCCCGTGGCACTTTTGATGATAAAAGCAAGAGTCTATTTTTAAATTGTTGCTATATAAATAGGTAATCGTGTGGCATATGTTAACACTCCAGAAAGTTGTGCAGAGCAAATCAATCAAAACCAGGGTTAATCAACAATTGCTATTTAAAATTTAAACTATTCTGCATAGTGTTTGAGCAAACTTGCTAGTTTCACTGCTAAGAGCAAGCAAATATTTAATTAAGTTAGTAGGTAGTGCTTTAATTATTGTGAGGGGTACTTCAAAATAAATTAATGGATAATTACGTTACGATTAATATTATATTGATTACTGATTAACATATAAATTACAAAAGGATAAATTAGAATTGTGAGCGAATAAATGGGGCGCTTGCCAGGCTGTCGCTCGAGATGACACATCTGAAATAAAAGAAAAACTACCTGAGTAACCAATTCGTCAGAAATCATCACCATAGTTTAAATGTTATATTGACAGGAGTTTTGTAAATAAATAAGCCTTCCGGGTCATAGGTATTAAGGGAAAACGCACAAAATACCTCTCCAGACAAGGCGTATCTTCTGGATCCTCGGTATTAAGGGAAAACGCACGAAATACCTCCCCAGCAAGATAATAGCTAGCATAGAGTATCTACCATGGTAAACAGTGCATTTATAGGCCTTCACTAGGATACTAAGGGAAAACACGCGAAGTATCCACTCTATATACAACTAGCATAGAGTACGAGGGGAACCACTCGCAACGTACTCTATAATATGAATGTACCAAGAATATTATCTTGGTGATAATTTAATAAATCAATCAATGAAAAAGGTGCAAATGGATACTCTGTGAGAAACACTCACCTATTAATTACAGCAACTTCAACAAATTCACAAAGTACAAAATATTCCACAGAGGCACAGAGATTACAAATACTGATTACACTTTCAGACTTGCTTCAAGATTGAATTCTAGCAATTTTTACTAAGGGAACCAGCAAAAGGATCTAACCCTTTGCAAGAAGGCTGGACAAGCAATTCTGGTCCCTAATCGTTATTGAAATAAAAGGTCATATCTCCTATACTAGTCATGAAAGCTTTTTACCTGTGATAAGGGTAACTGTTGTTCGACTTTTATGAGGAAGCTTTCTTGAAATTTTTAATATAGGAACCTTGCAATGCATCAGCGAAAAAAATAAATTTACTTACAGTCGGCCATCATGCAAATATCTCGTCCCGAGATATCTAGGAGTCCATCGGCTGATCATCGTCGGAGCTCAAAAGAACACCATCGTCACCGCTTTCGCTGTCCGTAGAATCTGACACACCTCCAGGCTGACACCAGGGGCGCATACGATCAACAGCGACGGTCTTTTCGTACTTGGATGTTGTTCGTGTACGATGGGAATTTTCCATATCTCTGACAACATATCGATCGTTTGGCAATGCAACTTTCACGACCATAGGTCCGCTATATGAGGCATCCAGTTTTCTACTAGTGCCAGTGGATTGTACTTGTTTCAGTACCACTACTAAGTCTCCTTCTTTGTAAACCTGTGGTTTCTTTCGTTTTTTGTCAAAATACTGCTTTTGCTTGGCTTGGGCCAATCGAATTTTCTCTGCCGCTTCATGCCTAGCAACTACAATATTTTCTAACATTGCAGGGATTTGAGAGACTTCATCTCTCAGCAATGCGTCAGTACTATTTCTTGGAGTGTACCCAAAGAGCAGTTGGCTAGTTGTTTTGCCAGTCGCTTTATGAGTTACATTGTTGATGGCAAATTGTACGGATCGTACACTTTCGTCCCATAACTCTTCTTCGGGTACAGATGGTAGTAACGCTCCAAGAATGGTTCTGTTTAAGCGTTCCACTTGCCCATTTGCTCTTGGAGTTGCGACAGCATTGAGTACATGTTTGATATTATTCTGGTCGCAAAATTGTTTGAACTGTTTGGATGTGAAGCAACTGCCTTGATCCGATATTAGGATTTGTGGGACTCCATAGGTTGCAAAAATATCTTTGAAATACTCAATAACGTGTTTTGACTTGGTGTTTTTGACGGCACGCAAAAATACGAATTTTGTGAAAGCATCAATTCCTACTATGAGATAAGAATTATTTTTCTTTGATTTTGGGAAAGGTCCTAAATGATCCACATGGAACGTGTGTAAAGGTACTTCTCCTTTTGGGATTGGGTGTAGAAATCCCTCCTTTTTGCCTGATGTTCTTTTGTTATAAAGACACGGAATGCAGCAGGAAATGTATTGTTCAACATATTTCTGCATTCTGGGAAACCAATAATTTTCGCAAAGTCTTTTCAGCGTCTTTTCGACTCCAAAGTGCCCAAAATCATCGTGTGCTGCTCTTAACACACGCTGCCTCATTCCGTTTGGAACGACCCAAAGTAGGCCTCTTGCAGTTATTCTATATACTCGGCCGTCCTGCAGGCAATAGTCTTTATAAACATTCTTTTCATAATCTGTTTCCGGTGGTCTTGAAAGAACTTCACATATAGTTTTAATTTTGTCGTCGGTGAGCTGTCCTGAAAGCACCCAATCTCCTTCTCCAATGTGTAGAATCACTTCACATTCTTCCTGATTTTGATTGTTCGTTGGTGGGTTACGACTAAGTGCATCCACATGGCTCATACGTGGCCCAGATATTTTACGTCGAAAGTGAATTCCTGGAGTCCGAGCCACCATCTGGCAATTCGTGGCAAGAGATTCTTTTTGTTACTGGCTGCTTTGAGTGAATTACAATCGGTGATAACGGTAAAAGATATGCCAAGTAAGTATGTTCGAAACTTCCGGAGACTTTTCACTACCGCCAACGTTTCCAGCTCAAATGAGTGATATTTCTGTTCAGTATCGGAAGTCTGGCGACTATAGTATGCAATTGGATGTAATCGTTCGTCTATTTGCCTTTGAAGTAATATTCCAGCTAATCTAATTTGGCTTGCGTTGGTGTGTAATTCAATAGCTGCCTCAAAATTAAATAGACTCAAAACAGGGCGACTGATCAAAATTTCCTGAAGTTTGCGAAATGCACTGTCTTGTTGATTTCCTTAAGTCCATGGTGCTGTCTTTTTGGTTAATGCTGTCAATGGTTTTGCAATTATGGCATAATTTTGTACAAAATGACGGAAATAGCCTGTTAGACCAAGGAATTGACGTATTTGGTGCACAGATTTTGGGGTAGGAAACTGTTCAACGGCTTTAATCTTCTCAAGTCCAGGCTTAACTGTTCCCCGCTCTATTTCATAGCCCAGATACGACACAGACGTCTTCAAAAAGTTACACTTTTTAAGGTTTAGCGTTAACCCTTCCTGTCTTAGAATGTCTAAGACGTCTTTTAAAACCTTTATCGTTTCATTTACAGTCGACCCATACAAAAGTACGTCATCCAGATAAAGTGCTGAATTGGCTCGCATTGGCTTAAGTATTCGTGTCATCAACCTCTGGAAAACTCTGGGTGCGTTGCTTAGCCCAAAAGGAACTCTGTTGTATTCGTATTGCCCTTCAGGCGTTACAAAAGCAGTGCAGTGTTTGGAGGACTCCGCAAGTTGTATCTGATGGTATCCTGCTTTCAGATCGAGACTAATAAAATGGTTTCCAGTCTGTAATTTATCAATTTGATCGTCAATTCGAGGTAATGGATGACTATCCTTTACGCAGAGGGAGTTTAATCTGCGGTAGTCGATGCACAATCTCTGCTCTCCATTTTTCTTTCGAACTAAAAGAACAGGTGATGAATACTCGGAGTCAGATTCACGAATAATTTTACTTCTGAGCAAGTCATCAACAATGTCCTTTACTAGGTTTTGTTCAGTTCGTGACATCCGGTAGGGTCTGTATGAAAATGGTTTATTTTCTCGAAGATTAATTTCCATTTGAGCAGTTTTTGAACAACCAAGTTCTTCCGTTGTTAATGCAAAACAATTGCGATATTCCTGTAGCAATTTCAGTAATTGCTTCTTTTGCTGCTCATCTATAGGCCCTATCGAGATTTCTTCTAGAGGTAAACGCCCTGTATTTGCCTCACCAACTCTCATCACCATTTCTGTTAAATTTTCCTCCTGTGTACACTTGCATGCTCTTACAAATACTCTATTTTTCTTAAAATCGATATCATTATCTGCTAAACTTATGCAAGGTAATAATGCAGGCTCTCCTTTTTTAATTGATACGATTACATGAGGAATACAATATTCTTGTCCTTCTTGCATTCGGACGCTAGCGTCGATGCAGAGATCACCTTCATAGGAATCACTATCAACCTGAACATGTGATTTTGCAGTATTGTAGTGTTTTCTGCAATCCAAAGTATAATTTTTGAATCATTTGGTTCTGTGTCTATTGCATTTATTTCTCCTAGGCTCCTGCTGAAAAATGTCAATGAAATATCATCTTTGATGACAAGTAAGTCTGGGACTTCTGTGAAATTCCTGCCCAGCAAAATTGGTATCTCCTGAGCTACGTTAGCCACAATATGGGCAGATACGGTTGTTTCCACATCATCCACTTTGATTCGGAAACTTGTGGTACCTATTGTAGGGGTGCGCCCGTTGCCATAGCCATGTAGAACGGTTTTCTCGGTGGCATCAATTACTAAAGCTAACCGTTCCGCTTCCTGTTGACGAATAGTAGTGCAGGAGCTTCCCAAATCCACGTAGGCGAAAGATGAAATTCCATTGATGTCTACGGCTTTATAGAATTTTTGATTGCTCTTGTCCTTGTCCGTTACTAGTCATAATTTTTCATTTCCCTTCTCCTTTCTTTTTTTCAAAAAACAATCATCTTCTACATGTCCGCGACGTCGACAATAGCGTTTTTCGAAATTATTGTTGGTTCCCTTCTCTGCACACCTACTAGATATGTGCCCTGGTTTATGGCACTTAAAACAAGTTATTGTGGTACCTTGTTTGGAAGTTGTATTGTCCCTTCTGAAATTGCCAGATTTGTGTCTTGACGTATGTCGACCAACATCATGACCTCTGGATATGCCAGATGACGCAGTATCCAAGGTACAAAGGTATCCATACAAGGACTCAGGTGATTGATGATCGCCCGCCTTAGATCCAGTTTTGACCACATTATCAAACATGCCTACAATAAGGCACGAAACTGCTTTGACTCCTGTAATCTCGCAGCTATTTAATAAAGCCATTTTTTCATAATAATATTTGCAGTACGTCTCGTCCTGCTTCTTTGTCCTAGCCATCATTTGCTGGAATTCTTCAAAGAAGTCACGTTTAGATGGAAATCCTTGCTCCAGCTTTTGTTTCCACTCATTCCAAGAAAATTTTACGCTTGGTAAGCCCTTGTACCAAACTTCAGCCAAACCTTTCAATTTGGTCATCGCAAAATAAATTGTAGCCTCTTCAGACCATCCAAAAATGTCTCTCAACTCGTCAACCTTTCGACACCAATCCAAAACAGTTTGAGTTCTATCATCAGGATCAAAAACAGGTACCATTTCCCCGCGCACAGCAGGGGTACTAGCCCTTTCTCTTAGCGTATTTGCCTTCGCATTCGACTCAATAAGGGTGCTAATTACAGCCGTTAAACGATCGATAGATGCCTCGCTGTTACGAGAAGGATTTCGACTTTCTCCAGATGAAAGTCTTCTATTCCTGGATGATGAATTATTTCTACCGTGACGACTACTAGATTGCTCATCTAGTGGAAGTGGTCGTTTATGTCCACGGCGGGAAGACATGATTATTTCGATGCAATTATCTTGATGTCAAAAAAAAACAATACTTAAAAATAATACTTTGTTTGTGTCACCTCGGCGAATGATATTTTTCTTGCCCCTGTTAGAGAAGTTATTCAATTAATTACTATTATTATTAATTATCTGAACATTTATTTATTTATTTATTTTTATTGCGAGACATTTTATGAGCTATTGACTATTTGAGAGTAATCCCACTTCTGAAAATTTGTGAGGGGTACTTCAAAATAAATTAATGGATAATTACGTTACGATTAATATTATATTGATTACTGATTAACATATAAAGTACAAAAGGATAAATTAGAATTGTGAGCGAATAAATGGGGCGCTTGCCAGGCTGTCGCTCGAGATGACACATCTGAAATAAAAGAAAAACCGCCTGAGTAACCAATTCGTCAGAAATTATCACCATAGTTTAAATGTTGACAAGAGTTTTGTAAATAAATATAAGCCTTCCGGGTCATAGGTATTAAGGGAAAACGCACGAAATACCTCCCCAGCAAGATAATAGCTAGCATAGAGTATCTGCCATGGTAAACAGTGCATTTATAGGCCTTCACTAGGATACTAAGGGAAAACACGCGAAGTATCCACTCTATATACAACTAGCATAGAGTACGAGGGGAACCACTCGCAACCTACTCTATAATATGAATGTACCAAGAATATTATCTTGGTGATAATTTAATAAATCAATCAATGAAAAAGGTACAAATGGCTACTCTGTGAGAAACACTCACCTATTAATTACAGCAACTTCAACAAATTCACAAAATACAAAATATTCCACAGAGGCACAGAGATTACAAATACTGATTACACTTTCAGACTTGCTTCAAGATTGAATTCTAGCAATTTTTACTAAAGGAACCAGCAAAAGGATGGAACCCTTTGCAATAAGGCTCGACAAGCAATTCTGGTCCCTAATCGTTATTGAAATAAAAGGTCATATCGCCTATTCTAGTCATGAAAGCTTTTTACCTGTGATAAGGGTAACTGTTGTTCGACTTTTATGAGGGAGCTTTCTTGAAATTTTTAATATAGGAACCTTGCAATGCATCAGCGAAAAAAATTAATTTACTTACATTATTAACAACAAATCTATTTATTCTTGACAAGTCAATCATTGTGTTTTATATTGTAATATTAATGAATTTATCGAAAAGTCCATGTCTAGTGGATACAATTCATTCTTATTCTATGCCCATTCCTAGTTATGTCTAATCCGAAATGACATTTTGGCTGCGCTGCTCCGTGCTTTACGCAACAGTGACTACGTTACACGTCATTCTAAAATGTAACGACAACGAGCCAATTAAATTGCGTTGAGCTTTTGGGTTGTTTGTTGTTTTAAAATTGAGGGCATATTTATAGAGTACCTATATCGACAGATTAAATGAAAAAACAAAAGACGTTAGACTAAACTACGCGTCAATTGAACTCGAACACTCCAATTTTTGGTCACTTTTTGAAAGGCTATAACTCAAAATCTAGCGGGCCGATTTTGTTCAAATTTTCAGGAGTGAAAGGATGCTCTAATTGCTATTTAATTTCCAGTTCTCAACAGATTTCCGACCACCTGCTAAAAGATACAGGATGAAACATAGGTTGGCGATTTTTTTGCGAAAGTTTGGGTTCACCCCATTCTGCTGGAGGGAGAGTTAAGTAGATTTTTGATATTCAGTTTAGAAGAGTACCTTAGTACCTCGGGACGTTTTTGAGATTTTTTGAATATCGCAACCGACTACGATTTTATCATGAGTTATACGATTTTATGTAAAATATAGCTATTGACGTCATTATTTCTTTTCCAAACAAACACTACAAGAATGGCGCATGTAAAAACACACTTAAAACATATACAGGGTCATACAAAAACATATAGGTTGTTCTGATAAGAGTTGTTTTTCTCAATTAAAACGAAAGGGAAACTAGGAAACATTTAATACTTTATAGCAATAAGTAACATGATTGTTTACAATTATACGTGAAACGCAATATCCAACAAATGTCCACCACGACTTCTCTCACACCAAAATTTTCGATCACATCTGTGCACATTTCCGGTGGTATCTCACGAATAATACGCCGAATCTCATCTTTCAACTCTTGAATTGTTTGGGGGATTGTTAACATACGCTTTGCTTTTAATGTAACCCCACAAAAAAGAGTCTAGTGGCGTTAGATCGCAAGATCTAGGAGGCCAAATGACATTAAAAGAAAATCGTATGTTAACAATCCCCAAACAATTCAAGGGTTGAAAGATGTGATTCGGCGTATTATTCGTGAGATACCACCGGAAATGTGCACAGATGTGATCGAAAATTTTGGACAAGGACAACACCTTTACATCCTTCATCCTTCAGGTATTGAAACCTCAAAAACAACAATAAAAAGACGTCTCCATGAGAGAAATTTAAGAGCCAGAAGGCGAGCAGCATGTCCATGATTAGAAGCAGTCCATGGAAGAGCACGAATAAACTGGACTAATATGCATAGACACTGGGGAGTAGCTGAATGGTAGGGATGTTTGTTTGTGAATAAATGCAGATTCACGTTGTATCAGAATGACGGACGTGTATTAGTATGTAGAAAAACGGGTGAGAAATATAGAGAAGAATGCATGGAAGTGAGAGAGGCTTTTCGTGGAGGTCGCGTGACAGTTTGGAGGAGGGGAGGGGGGTATTTATCGGAATGGGTAGACTGAACTGGTAATTTTAATGAGAGAAAGTATGAATGCAGGACGGTACCCTGATTTGCGTGTAAGAGATATTGTTATTTCCTATGCAAACAACTTTGGTAATGATTTTGTCTTTGTGGATGATAATAGTCATCCACATCGAATAAATATTTTACCGAAATTCTTAGAAACAACAATATTGAACGAATGAAGTGGCCTGCAAAGTCGCCTGACATGAATCCGTTTCAGCATGTATGGAGTAGAATGAAACTGAGACCGATTGAACCTTTAAATGGTTTCGAAGATTTAAATGAATTGGTAAATACAGTAGGGCAAGAGTGGGTTATTCCCCAGAATTTGATGAGGTATCTATTTAATAGAGAGTACGCCGAGAAGAGTGGCGGATGTGATTAGAAATCGGGGTGGGCCTACCAAGTACTGATCTTTTTGTTAACTCCATGTTAAATTTATTCTTGTTTTTTTTTTTAATTCCATTTAATATGTGTTTTGTTTTTATTTTATTCCAATTATCTCTACTGACAATTGTTTTTTTTTTTTAATTTATTATAAGCACTCTAAGGACTAGTATTTCAATGTTACCTTAAAATCAAGACTTACCTAAGGGACCCTTAACGTCAAGGAATCAGTTTATTCAGGTGGCTTAAGATCCACCTTGAATTTGTTGAAATTGTACTGGAAATTGGAGAAAATCTTGGAGAAATAAAGAAAACACATCTAAACGTTTGTAATATTCTGCTAAGACAGACTTCATATTTATTAATGTCAAACTGACAAGAGAAGAAAATGAATAGTAATGAGCTAGAGTGGGAGCAAACTACATTGGAAGTATGAACTGATAAGAGACAACAGTTATGACATTCTAGTATTACAGAGAGCATCATAATTCATTTGGTTCTATGTTTCACACAATAATATATAGATGGCGCTGAGTGCAACAAATAACATTTTTTGATATCATTATTTCAACACCCCCACTTAGCAAAAAATTTTAGAACAATACAACAAAAAATACTTTAGAATCACTTACTTAAACCTAAACCTTGAACAAATTTAGTATTCTTTGTGTTCTGTAAAATCTTTGTCAAAATATCAGCTATCATTTCGTTCGTAGATAAATATTGAATAGTAATAATTTTATCAGTCACAGCATCTCGAACAAAATGATATCTGATGTCAATATGCTTTGACCTCTCATGAAGAACCGGATTGTAAGCCAATTTTCTAGCACTTTGATTATCATTGAACAAAATAATACAATCCAATTTTCCTATAAGATCATTGAACAAATTCCTTAAATAAACAGCCTCTTTCGTAGCCTCACTGATTGCCATATATTCAGCTTCAGTGCTGGAAAGAGCAGCTGTTTTTTGTTTAACACTTCTCCATAAAATTGAAGCACCTGCCAATTTAAAGACATATCCTGTATAGGATTTCCGATCTTTCTTATTGGAGCCCCAATCGGCATCAACATATCCTGTTAAAGTTGAATCATCTTTCTCAAATTTCATGGAAAAGGTTTTTGTACCCTTGAGATATCTCAGTATCCGGTTTGCACACTGCCAATGATAATCAGTAGCACAATTATTAAATTGGCATAAAAAACTAACGCTGAAACAAATGTCAGGTCTAGTGAGCACAGCCAAATACATAAGACTCCCAATAAGTCTTTGACACATAGGATTCCCAGCACTTTTATCACTCACATCAAAATCAAAATTTTCAGCCA